AGCTGTTGCATTGTGGTAAAGTGTGGTCAATGTCATGAGACAAAGTGTATGTGAACCACTGTATGGAAAGTGAATTTGCTCTGTAAATCTTTACCCAAATCACAATTTAAAAAAAAAAAAAAAAAGAAAGAAAGAAAGAATTCATCTTCTTCTATCACTTCACAAGGCCAGTGTGAGGTATGGAACCCCCTTGCAGCAAACAATTTGACCTTTGGTCCTGGGATCAGCCAGGGAGCTGATGCTGCATAAGCCTCTTTGGAAGACTGTGGTGGGGGAGGTATCAGTGGAGTTTCCGGGGTGGACAACAGTGAACTTCTATTCTCAGGAAGATAAGTGTGTCTTCTGACATGGAATCTCTGTGCTGAGATCTCTCCCAGATCTTATCCTATGTGTTTGTATCCTTTTCTCTGCTAGATTAAAAATAACCCTCTTCTTGTAGTTTGTGAGTACTTAAGAAACTGAGAAGGAGCTGGTGCCTAATCCTAGTGAAAGAGGATGACAGAGAAAAGGCTGTGTAGAACAGCTGGGGTCTAAATAAATAGGGAAAGGAGGCTGTGATGTTCAAGAAATGGAGTTGAAGTGTGAAGTGGGATATACTACCCACCAAACTTTTGGCATTAAAGGTGGATGACCTTGGCCTCCTTGGACTGCTTTGGCACAAATTGTTATCAGTAGAAGGTGAGATTCACTAGAGAAAGTGAGTGATCTCTGATGAAGCAACCAGAAAACAAAACAGCAGAGGTGTGGCTCCAGAGGTCTCAATCTGGCTGCATGTCAGCACGACTGGCAGTGATAGCACAATATCTACCCTGTGCCCATCTGGAACCTCAGACGCGGCCACTGCCACTCCAACAGCCTCAGAACTTCTGCATTAACAGGTCAAATTAACGACAAGAAACAATAGAGAAATGTTGGCAAAGAATACTGAAGGTACCATGGACTACCAAAAGAATGAACAAATCTGTCTTGGAAGAAGTGCAGCTGGAATGCTCCTTGGAAGTGAGAATGGCCAGACTTCATCTCACTTACTTTGGTCATGTTGTCAGAAGGGGCCATTCCCTGGAGAAGGTTATCATGCTTGGTAAAGTGGAAGGTCAGTGAAAAAATGGAAGGCCCTCAATGAGACAGATTGACACAGTGTCTACAACAATGGGCTCAGGTATAGCAAGGATTGTGAGGCTGGCACAGGACCAGGCAGTATTTCGTTCTATTGTGCATGGGGTTGCTATGAGTCAGCGCTGACTCAATGGCACCTAACAACAACAACATGGTTCCAAAGCCCTTCCCAACAGGAGAGGGGGACTGAGTCTGTCCCCAGTGGCCCACCCCCATGATACTCTTCCAGGCTTACAGGACATAGTGACAACAGACAAACAGGCCATCTGGACCATGCTGCACAGGAGAGGACCAGGCAGCTGGAGCACACAGTCCCTTCAATCCCCAAGCTTCACCTTCAGATCTGTAGAGAGGCCGGGAGCCCTGACCCAAAGGTAAGGGATCAGTCCAGCTGCACTCATCTATGCATTCAGGAGATGTGGCCCGCCACTGCCCCCTATACCCCAGGCTATGCTGAACTCAGTTTCCAACAACCTCTTGTCTTTGCATGTCTATGTCACTTGACAACTAGGTCACAGCACACTGGCAGGGAGGCAACTAGAGAAGCAGAGAGAATCTCAGTAAAGCCCTGCTAAACCCAGCCCTGAATGTTGTGTTGATCCAGGCCACAACAGCATTTCCGAGTAAATTCTGAGGCATAGAAGAGTCAGTGCAAGGCACCAGGTCACATGGTTGGTGAGTGCTGCAGTGACAAGAGACTTACTTGTTTCTATTCATTCAGGGCTGAGAGTAGGTGCTGGGAACAGGTGTAGGGAGGAGGGGCACACTCACCTGGAGGTCTGAAATGTCCATCTTTTCTCGGACACTGAACTTCTGGCCCATGAGTCTCAGCTTGGGCACACAGTAAAGGACCATACTGTTAAACTGCAGGAGGGAGGCACAGTTAGGTATGGCAGGCATGGGTCCAGTTGTATGGAGGAATGTGGCCCTGTGTTGCCAGGGAAGAGCTTTGGGGCAGGGCCTGAGAAAGGCAATCCAGTGATTGTAATCATGTAACCCGGTGATTGTAATTATGGAGGAGGTTGAAGAGCCTGGGGGCGCCCTGTGGCTGTGAACTCTGTGCTGGGAGAGCTGGGAATGGGGGCCCCTACGGGTCTGGGTTCTGGACTTAAGTACTAGGATTAGGGGCTCACCAGGAAGAGGTAGCGGTCCTGAGTGGTGCCGTTCTTGGCTGACAACTTTTGGATATGGCCCTCTTTGATGAGCTCATTGGCTGGATTGACAATGTCTTCCTCCCCACCCAGTCTCTCATACACCTCCAAGAGCTTGTGCATTTTCTCCTACAAGAGAAAAAAAGGTAGTTGTGTGGCCACAGGGAATAATAACTTGCCAGGGATAAAGAGGTAAATGGAGCACTGCTCTGCAACCGGGACCCCAAACTATAACAAAGCCATCTGAGATAAGGAAGTTACTGAATCAGGGGTAGAAAAGAAAACAAGAGAGTAGGGAACATTCATATTGGGTATTGGAAGATGAACAGAATTTTACCATGTGGAGAATAATAATAATAAAGTAATAACAACAGCTAACATCACTACTACATGCCAGGCCCTGTTCTACACATATGTGTATCAAGTCATGTAATTTTAAAAGCAATCCAGGGAGGTAGGTGGTGGTGTTAGTTGCCATTGAGTTAATTCTGACTCTTAGTGACCCCAGTTTTATCACCAATCTACAGAAAAGGAAATGGAGGCACAGAGATGACAAGAGAGTTTCAGCTGGTACACTGGGATTGGACTTGGACATCTGGCTCCTTCTGCTGGGGGCTCCTGTGGCTGCGAACTACATGCTGGGAGGGTAATCTAGTCAGACAAGACAACTGTAGCATCTGGGGTGTCTGCGCTGGGCAGCTATTCCCTTTCCTTCTTGCACCCTCATCCAGTCTCCCATTCCACTCTCAAACTGTGAAACCCAGGGTGGTCACATGTCCCATAGCTCAGCCAATCAGCATGTCACATTCCCTTGGCCACATGGTCAACCAGTGCCTTGCGATACAGTGGGTAGGAGCCAGCAGCTTTGAAACCAGGCGTGGCACTGAGAGCTTTAGGTGCTAGATTATTGGTTCCATTGGTTCCCATCTGGGCCTGGCCTATGGGGATGGCTCCTAGGGGGCAATTGTCAGCCTGGGCACCAAGAGGCTCCTTGAGAGCCCCTGTTTCTCAGGATTGCATGTTAATATGCAGTAGTGCCACAGCATAAGGAGTCTTGGTGGCAAAATGTTTAACTGTTCAGCTGCTACCCACTCAGCAGCTCTGCAAGAGAAAGATGTAGCAATCTGCTCCCATAAAGAGTGCAACTTAGGAAACCCTATGAGGTAGTTCTACTCTGTCCCATAGGGTAGCTATGAGTCAGAATCAACTTGATAGCACCTAACAACAACACTACAGTACCACTGTCTGGAGAGGATAGGGCTGGGTCAGACCAAGGCCCCGCCCCAGGGGTGCTTCCCCTACCTCCACACTAGTGAGGTAGGAAGCCTCACCACAAGCTGTGTGTTGGGGAAAAGGACTACCAGGTGACCAGTAGGTTGGGGTAAACATGAGTCCCCTGCTGGGGGAAACTCACATGGCCTCTTTCCATAATGTCCAAGGGTACACCTATGAGGATTCCCCAGATATTCACGGGCCATGACCGTGGGGTTCTGAGCAGCAGCATTTTCCTTGATAGATTTAGTGCTGGGGAGGAAAGGAGGGAAAATAACTAAAAAAGGTGGAGTCTTCCTGTGAGCTGTTTTGACTGCCAGGAGGCACTCTGGGCCCAGACCCATACGTTGGTGTGTATAAAGGGACATGCCTGGGGAGAGATAGCCAGCCTGAAGAGACCCTGTTTCTTAGTGTCTCTTTGGAGAGAGGCCTATGGTAAAACTAACATCTTGTTTTCCCTTTCTGTTCCCTCTAAAAAAAAAAAAAAAAAAAAAAAACAGCAGTAGCTACTAGGTCTCACCCTTCTAAGGACAGAGCCACTGGACCACTTGATGCTGATGTCACAGGTATCTAGGTGAAGCTCAGGGGCACCCAGAACAGGTCTACTCAGAGCTCTGCCCAGTCCTCAGATATGGCATTGCATGCAGACTGAGAAAGTAACACTCTCATTACTCTTTGTGCCCCACTTAGCCCTGAACCTGGCTCTTGAAAGACACTGATGAAACTTTGCTGAATGAATAAATGAGTGAGTGAATGATGATAACACTGAGAGTATGATAATATTGAGAGTAATATTTATTGTGCTAGATCATGTTCTAAGCATTTTATTTATGTGACTCATTTAATCCCCACAATGAAATTAATTTAATCCTCACAATAAAATCAGTTTTGTTAGTGTTCTCATTTTACAGACAGGGGGAAGCTGAGGCACAGAGCTTACCAGAGACCCAGAGCTAGCAGGTGGTGGGCCTCACGGCTCAAGAGTAAACCTCTGCCCTGATCTGGGAGACTGGCAAGGGTGTACCCATGTGCCATCCTCCCACTTCTCCACATTCTGCCTGACATCTGGAGCCTCCCTTTGCACTCACCATCTTCTGAATGGCTGCGTTGGAGTGGTTTGCTGCGATAGAAATGAGCTCCAAGGACTCTGCAGGGAAGGAGATAGCAGAGTTAGTGTCCTCACCTGAGAGAGCCTGTGTAGCTGTTTCTTGGATCCCCAGCATTTGGCCCTCCCTGGCTCTCAGATCCCTCCCTGTGGGAGACCAGGCTGCTCAGGAGCTTGACCAGGAGGGGTGGCCTGCAGCCCCATTCTATGGGCTCACAGAGGGAGGAGCTGGCAGCAACCAACTTTCCTGCCGAGGCCTGCCCTGCATAGCTTCCCTGTTGCCCTTGGACCAGGGGCAGCTGTCACCAGCTCCACAATCTCAAATGCTGCATCCTAAACTCTGGGGAAGTAGCCAGCCCTTCAGAACCACTGTCTGCCCCTCACACGTCAAGTCTAAGTCTCTTCTTGAGTCATATTTAGGAAGCATTTGGATCTCTCCCACTCTTTCTCTCTCTGGATAGCTGAATTTGACTTAGGTTTTCCTAAGTCACATTTCACTAGATCCAGTGTTCTCCCAGGGAATCCCCACCTCAGCCAAGCCCCAGCTTACTCTCTGCATCCCTCCGGTCAGGAGCATCTGCTGGGAGCCTCTTCAGGTAGTCCTTGAGCAGCAGTTCATAGCGAGGGACCCTCTGCACAGGCTCTAGCATGTGGTGCTGCAGTGTCAGGTTCCCACACACCTCTTGCTTCTATGAGAGCCCAGGGAAGAGCATGTGGGACCCATCCACACCTGGGACCTGGCTGTCCTGCTCCTGAACACCCCCTGCTTCTGTGAGGAGACCAGATCAGTGCAGGAGGCCAATTCACACCCAGGACACAGTCCCCTGATCCTTGCAAAAGAGCACTCTAAATCTGGGACTCTTGACTTAATTAAAAGTTGACAAAGATCTGAATCAGACTTTATTTCATCCTATTTCTCCTCTTTAAAGTACATGACCCATGACCATACTCTTGACCAAGATAGTCTGTTTTGCAACATTCTGAAGTAGCCCACCCAGGTTGTTACGAGAACCAGTTCTGGAACACAGAAAACAGGCTAAAGTTGACTACCCTAACCAATAGAAATTCTTGGTAAATGAGTCCTACAGAGCATGTTGAATATCAACCTATCAAATTTATCACTGAACTTTTTCCTGACTCTGTACAGAGTTCTGCAAAATTGGCATGTGCTTATTTATGCTCCTTCTTCAAAATATCATTTTGAACTTTCTTTTTGTGTTTCCCAATTTGCAAATCTTTGAATGGGAATGAAATTCTTATTTTACAGATGCTCTATTTTGTTTTGAACAATTATTTGGTGTCAGTGTGGGACCAAAGTGACCAGCCTATGGCCTTGGAGCCCTCTTCAGACACAGGTGAAGGATTCCACTGAGCCCTTTTAGGCTCTCTATCTCCCTGAGGAGCATTTTTGGCCATTTAGTAAGTCCTTTTGAATCTCAAACTCCATATTGTTACGTTGCAGCACAGTTCCATTTTATTCAGATTTTGGTTTGTGTCTATGTGGTGTACTAAATTATATAGTGTGGGTTTTCTAGACATAGTCTTTGTAAACTCTGTGGTGGAATTTTCCAGGAGCAACTGGAAAATGAGTTCCTCCTGATTGTTACAGCTATCCACCTGGGGTATTTCTTTTGGGAGCAGCATGAAGTAATTTTCTGGAAAGTTTGCTCTCTCTCAAGTGTGTAGAACTTTGATGTTGTAATTGGTTGGTTTTGGCCACTCTCCCAGGCTCAAAAGGAGTCTTCCTAGAGGCAGAGAGTAATATCTCTTGCTACTGGCTAAGAGTCTAACCCATGGCTGAGAGACCTGTTACTGAAAGAGAGACATCAGCTGAGAGATGGCAGCAGAGGAACCTAGAGGCAAGAGACAGAGTGGCAGACTTATCTGACCCATAGAGGCAGAGGCCAGGCTGAAAGCCCAAGGGCCACAGAGGTGTGTCTAAGGGCACGGAAAGGGGGACGCTGTTCTGACCGAGGAACTGAATCCTGAGTATGTTCCTGAATTTGAGTTGTTGAGCCTGTTGCTTCCCTGATAAGCCCCATAATCTGTGAGTGGTGTTTGTGAATTCTGCATGGCCACTGCAATGAATTGTCTAGCCCAGCAGAGAGGTAGTGAGTGCCATGGGAGATACAGTTGGTGTCAGGGTTGGTGAAAGGACTCAAGGGAGGTAGCATGTCTGGCCTTGCAGGAATAGGTCTTGGGCTGCTGGTTGTGATTCTGTCCTCCTCTTGTGGGGTTAGATGAGGTCAGAAGATCTGGCCTCTTTGGCAGTCAGCAAATGTTTGTCTCTGTATTTTTTGTGGTCATGGTTTCTGCTGATTCTAAGCCTGTAGACTTTACATGTCCAAAATTACAGGCTTCGGTCATGTTTCTATTTAGAACTCTGGCATGTCCTACAAAAAACATTTTGACCAGTGGTCACTTATAGGGGCATCTGAATTGGGAAAATAAGTATACTTGAGATCTAAATTAGAAAATTGTACAACTGAACAAAAGGTTTGGGATGCATATTTTAATTGGTACTTAGAAGCTTCCAAACATGCCAACGATTCTAAATTGGCTTCTTTATAAGACACAGTATCCAAATTAACCAAGATTAATAGGTGTCTTAAGAAGGAAACACACAAGATATTGACAAGTCCACTCCTTCTGACCCCTCTGTTCCCCCTTTATCTTTGTACTTTACTCTTCCTCCATATCCTGGAAAGGATCCTAGTCTGAAATGCTGTTTGCAAACAATGATCTGTCTCTTGACCCTAAACCTCCTCTTGTGCCTCAAATGTTCTTTAAGGTCAAACCAGCTGAAGGGCAAGAGAACAGATCCCCGTACTTAATCACTCTCTGGTATAAAGCCAAATTGACACCAGCAGCTAAGGAGTTTCCAAAATCCATCAAGGACCTTCACAAATTTAAAGAGGAATTCTGCACTTTAATTCAGGTTTACTAATCTAGTCTGGCTGTTCTGTATCAATTAACCCATATGTTAGTTGCATCAAGAGAGGCACAAGATACTGCTCTTTCAATGAGAGGATTGGACAATGGATAAGGATACCTCTACTTTAGAAAAAGAGTACCCATTGTTACTCTTTGTGTGCCTAACATTATAGGCTTATTCTCCACAGATGTGGGAAGTATACATAGTGAACAACCAATTAAATTTAAATTGACCCAATTAAACCACTTCCCAGAATTTCTCAATACCCTCTAAGAATGGAAGCAATTCAAGGGTTAACCCCTGTATTTGAGGAATTAATTAATAAAGGGCTAATAATACCTTACACTAGCCCATGTAATACTCTAATTCTTGCCAGTTAAGAAACATAATGGGAAGAGTTGGAGATTTGATTAAGATCTTAGGGCCATCAATTATCTGGTGTTCCCCAATTTCTGGTAGTTCCAAATCCTCATCTTTTGTTGTTTCAAATACCTTATGAGGCAAAGGACTTTTTTTTTTTTTTTTTTTTCTGGCTGCACCTCCCCCATTCTTCTCATTTATATTTGGTCCATTTACCTCATGGACTTGCACTTATTAAACTTCCAGTTGTTTGGGTTCAAAAGCACTTGGCACAGAGTAGATGCTTATTGTGTGTCAGCTCCTCCCCCATCCCTTTTATCATGTGCTCCCCAAACTGTTAAGTTCTTCTTCCTATTGCCCCCCCCCAATCATGCAGACTTGCTTTTTGCTTTTCAGCCCTGGATCCTTGGCCTCCTGGATGCACTTGGTCAACACTCATAGGTCACAAGGCATCCCTTGTCACTTCAGCTTTCCAGCTCAGGGGAGAAAGAGACAGAGCACATGGGGAGTGACCAGACTGCCACCCACTGTCCTGAGTGAAGGATGGCTCTGAGAGCATACTGCCTGCGAAAGGTAAGTTCTACTGAGAGACCCCACAACTCTCTGTACCACATCTTTTCTGGAGACTCTGCAGTTAGGAGGACTCAATGATGCTGCTGCAAATTTATCTAGAAAGCCTCACCAATTACTAACCATGGCCTGACCATTGGCCTCTTCACAAGCATCCATGCTGGGAAGGATTTAACCACATCAAGGTTTTTGTGGCTGCAAGGTTGTGGGTCTCAGAACCCCACATGGGAGAAAGGGAAGTTCAGCTCTAATGTTCTTGGGGTCAGCTTTCCTCTGCAAAGGCCTATACTTTAGTGGACTGATATAGTGCTTTCATTAGTATTCTAACAACAACAACAAAACAAACCCAAACCCACCACCATTGAGTCAATTCTGATTCATAGCAACCCCCATTGGATTTCCAACGTGGTAAGTCTATAGGGAAGTAGATTGCCAAGTCTTGCTACCATGGAGTGGCTGGTGGGATTGAACTGCCAACCTTCTGGTTAGCAGTCAGATCACTTAGGCACTGTGCTACCATAGCTTCATAGTCAATATTTATTTGCCTATACTTGGGATGGATACCAATATACCTAGGCCTTAGGTATGATATGATACCTTAAAAATCTACTGAATCTCCCAGCTATTTCTCCCGTCTTAAAAGCTGATTTAGAGGACATAATGTTTGCAAATAATTCTCTCCTCATTCAATATGTTGATCATTTGCTACTTTGTTCCAGGAATTGCTCAGATTGTGAAGAAGATCCTATACATGTACTTAATTGCTTGAGCACTAAAGTGCACAAAGCCTCTAAAGATAAACTTCAATTTGTTAAGTTATGTTTAGTATTTAGGCCATATTCTAACTTCACAGGGGATCCCATTAGATCCACAAAGATTTGAAATCATTTGTAGCCATCCCTTGTTACATTTAAAAAAAAAAAAAGCTTAGAAGTTTTTTGGCCTTTTTTGGCTACTGCTGCAACTAAATTCCAAACTTTTCTCTGATTGCTCAATCACTCTATGCTTTACTTAAAACAGAGTGCCCAGAGCCTCTGCAATGGAATCTTGAACACACAGAACATTTTTATGAAGTTAAGAGGACTCTACCAGTTACCTGGTTTTAAGCCTACCTAGCTACAACAAATCTCTTTCATTATTTGATCATTAAAGAAACAAAAATGCCTTAGGAGTCCTTACTCAATCACATGAAAATATGATTTCAATCCAGAGACCTACTGGATATTATAGTCTCCCACTAGATCCTGTAGCTCAAGCTTATCCACCTTGCCTGACAGCAGTTGCAACTACTGCCAAACCAAATGAAGCTACTGCTGACACTGTTGTGGAAAATGATTTAGATGTGTTCATCCCACATTCCTTAGAATACTTACTCAATTCTGTTCTTACTCAGCATCTTTCTGTTAGCCAACTCACTTAAGAAATTGTTTAATCCCCTCTGAACATTCAAATGCTTTAGTTAATTGTACCACCAGAACATCTTTAAATAACCATTAACCAAAAAACAAACACACACACACACACACACACACAATTAGAAGTCTTTAAATAAGCAAATAAAACAAGATCTGGATAATGTAAAGGAAAATTTTTAAGATCAGCCCTAGATCTTCTTTCATTTGCTTATGGGTCTTATCAGCCAGGGCGGATGGCCAGAACAGGTAGGGGTAAGCCCCCAAACAGGAAAAGACAGCCAAGGCAGATGGCCAGAACAAATAGGGGGAGAGCTCCCAGGCAGGAAGTAGCAGGCAGGGTGGACAGCTGGAATAGGTAGAGGGAGACCCTGAGGCAGGAAGTGGAAGCCAGGGCAGTCTGCCGAAACAA